ATTTTTGTATGTTAGCGTCATGATTGATTTACTGGCATCTACGTGTCGCACGCGATGTTTACCTCAGTGTTTATAAACAGCGTTCTGAATATCCTCATACAATTTCCATACATACTTTATAATAGAAGATTTCACCGGCAATCAGTCAGTTGTCATCAACCGGCGATTGCGGATCTGTAAAAAGAAGATGCCAAGCGTGTATGGAAATGGAAAGAGGACATGTGGAACATCTTCTGTAAATATCGAGATAAAGATTTAGACAGATTCTTCTCACATCGCATACGACACGTAGAAGCCAGTATTCGACCTATGTTTACTAAGGTTTTTTTACTCAGTATGGTGTGTCTTATCTACCATATAAATGTTAAAGGTTTTTTTAACACCCTGTATATGTACCGTTTATTTTTATCAAAAACTCCGGTAATTTCTCTTGTGTTAGCACAGAAAAATGGATCCAAACACAAAAAAAAAACCCAAGTTCGCGGATAAGAACCTAGTCGTTTCGTGCTTAATCGTGCCGCATTAATTACACGAACGCCGGGTATGTTCGTTTCTTCTGCTTCTCCGCTTCAATCTTTTCCTCTTTTTCTCTTTGGCCGACAAACAAGATTCTCCCGCGCCTTCGACATGCCATGTATAGACACTTCCTCGAGCGAATCGTTCTTTAAACTTTTTCAAACTTAGTGATTGTAATTGAAAATTTGATATAAAAAGAATTAAATGTTAAAGATAAAAGTCTCAAGGCAAAACACTTTTGTATATAATAATATTTTATATATATATATTTCTCTTGTGTTAGCACAGAAAAATGGATCCAAACACAAAAAAAAAACCCAAGTTCGCGGATAAAAACGTACACGTCAAGCGGACTTATTCCATTCGTTCGTCGATTGCCAGAATCGGGGAAACCGATTCGGGGAAATGCCATGTCTCGCGTGTGTGTTTCTCGAAAGACAGATGTCGAACTAAAGGTGATATTTTTATCCGTAATTTCAGTTTTACTTGCGCAAGAATTTCCTTGCGCGTAGCAGAAGTTCGCGACTTGTCGATTATCTCGTCACACTCGGGGAGATCGTAAAAATAATTAATCGTCGACGCTGCAACAACCGATAATCACTTTGCCTAATAGCAATCTGTTATTCATGCGAGCGACAGGTTTCATCGGCGAACAAGTCTGCGAGACGGAACGTTCATTATTCATCGAACCGTGCAAAAAAACTCGTATACTCGATTAATAGTCAAATCGAGAGCTGAGATTTTGTTTGCTCGAGAATTAGCGTTTCAAATGGACGCGTCGAGCACAGATATTTTTACGCGTAAACATTTAAATTTTTAATCGAAAGAGAAATGAAATATTTTTCATAAATTGATCGAATATAAGCGAATATAAGTGATCGAATATATTGAGAATATTTTGCTTTGGACTGTTGTAAGACTCGAATTAGCATAAAATAGGTGTCTCGAAGTTATATTCTTATGAACTATTCCTCAATCTGTGACATGCAACGCAATGCTTCTATTTATAAAAAATCTGCATAAATGCGATTAAGTCCGCGATGCTCCGCAATCATCCGGGGTCGAGCGTTATTCTTAATCTAATTTAGTCTTTTACATAATTTAATGTATATATAGGATGTTACGCACAGTATTTTAGTATTTTTTTGAATTTACTGGTTACTTATTATCATATATGAAGATTTTATTCAATGTTATCGTTTAGCGTTAATAACGCGCGTTATAAATATGAGCCGCTGTCTTTAACGTCTCTGCGTAAAGAAGGCATCCTATCCTCAAACGATACCGCGTATTTCATGAATTATTAATGATCGCCAATGATAGGTCATATATCCTAATTTTTGCGCGTTGATGTGCACGGGCAAAGCGTTCAGCGTCGAAAAAAATCGCACCTCATTCTCCACGACGATGTATTTGTCATGCATATTAATGACAGGTGATGGACAAGCGGCGACTGAATCGCCCGACAACCTAATTTTCGCGCGTTAGGATGAGCGCACAGAAAGTGGCGTGCACTTAAGTCGCTTTTTATACCGCTTATAAACGGGTTTCTAATACATATTTGGCAATAGATTATTTGATCGAACTTATCGTTAATTATTCTTTAATGAAAACCGAATAAGCTTAATTATTTAATATTAGAAATTAATATAAATATATACAAAAAGAAAATTTTATTTTTTAGTGAATTGTAATCTGAATTAATTTTAGCAAACGTAAACATTAATTTAATCTAAAATGTAAAAATAACAAAATATTTAATATTGAAAATTCAAGAATTCTCTCGTGGTGTAATTTTATTCAATATATTTATAAGTCTTCTGAATTTCGTGTCTTTTGAGTGACAGTTCCACATTAAAGGGTTAAGGACACCGCGATTGAATAAGTGCGCCTAATTCCCTGAAATATTTTCGTAAACCAACACGCATAATCTCACTTCGTTACGGCCCTGAAAGCAATTGACACCTATCGCGATTGAAAAGGGACGCAGTTTCGCGGAGCCGGTCATCGCGCCGTAGCTAGCGAGAGGAAGGACGCAAGGTCCCTCGATACAGGTTCAGGGATTCCTGAAAATTATTAACGCCATAGCGAGAAATTACGACAGGCATGTCATTCCTCGAGTGGAACAGTGGTTCTCATCGCGTGCGCGCTGTCGCGGATAATTCCCGGCCATCGATGATGAATCGCTGATTCGCGGACGACGACGAATTTGCAAGTATAATGAAAAGTATCGGGTTAACGTTAAAGCGTTGTACTCTCACGTTGCGAGGAAGATAATAAGATCGTGTAAAGACGCGCGAGTGTGTGTGCCCCTGGAGTCAACAAGGGATGAAACTATAGGACGGAGCGAGAGGAAAATACGCGCGGGCCGATTGAGAAAAAAAAAAAAAGAGTCAGTAAGTAAGTACCGGGAATAAATTAAACTAATTGAGCAAATTAGCCAGCTGTTCACGCAACTATGGCATACAGACACGCTCTTCTCGGCCAGTAAGAAGCCGTCACGCAAAAGACGTGTACTCGATCGTTCCTTCGAATAAGTGAGAATAACAGATCCAACAGGCAGAAAATAAACAAATTAAACGTGTAAATAGCAATAAAAATATGTAAGCAAAAAATAGATATTATCATTAATGAGCCTATGTCTTTTTAGTGTGTAATACTTTTTATATTATTATCTTTTAAATAATATCTGTTTTAATTTTAGATTATATTTCATATTAAATTAGTATTTTTTTTTTTTATATTAAATTAGAATTTAAAACATTTCTTGCATACAAATTCAATTCAAAATATTATCCGTGTTATTTGTTATAATAAACATTATATGATCAGTTTACTAAAAAAAAAGACTTGCAAAAAATAGTTTAAGTTGTTTTGTGTCACGCTTTATTAAGACGGGTTTAAACTTTAAAAACATATTATATACGAATTATTTATATTTTAATTGCATTTATATTTATCGTAATGATTCATTTTTTATAGTTCTTCAGTTTTTAATGATCATGTGTATATGTGCGCGCCAAAGACAAAACATTGTAATAAATGCCATGTAATAAATGTCTTGATATCTCAAACGATAGTAATAATCAAATGCAATAAAAATAAATGGGAACTGAGAATGATTGTTATTCAAATATTTAAATATATTTGAATCGCATAATTGCTGTTTAAACACAGGAGTGAACATTATTACAATTTAATTGTGGATGTGTGACAACGTATTTTTAGTATTAATCAAAAGTGTCTTTAATAATCGATTTACGATACTGTTTAAATATGAATGTTGCGTATTACGAGAAAACAATCCCCCTCCCCTCCCCTGTTCATTACCAATAACGAGATCTAGTATTATAAATTGTAATTTATTTTTGCATAATAATACATAACTACTCTGTTGCTACCGACCTCTTTTTTTTACAACTGGAATAAACATTTAATATTTAATAATGAATATTTAATAGTTCGATAATTACTGACGTCAATACTTTGAATTAGCGTTGATAATAGTCGCGATAGAAGATATCAATTATGCTTAATCATGTTTTTGCAATGAATAATTGCCTGTTTATATGTGCACAATTATCTTTTTAACAATATGTAAATTTTCTAATAATGTAGATAATTGTCTTGAATATCTCGCTATAATTTTTTTAGCAACGATATAAATAATAATAAATTGAATGTTCTAATGGATAATCGCTTCCAATAACTTTTTAGACCAATAATAATTACTTTGAAAAAGATTGAAAAGTGTATAATTGAAAGATTCATGGTCGGCGACTTTTATATTGCACGAAGGGTATCACGTTTCGACATATGGGTTGGAAGATAAATTATACACAGTTGGGGATACGTGACCGCGCGGGGAACTTAAGTAATTCTTGAGTAATTCTTCGCGCGCGTTCGCGGGCTTCGAAACTATTATTCAAACGAAATGTCAGAGGATACGAGATAATTGTTGTTACGCAAGAGACGCGCGATCGCGTATTATTTTCACCTTCGCGCCAAAGAAGACGCCTCTAACCACAATTATTAACTCATTTTTTCAACCGACAAAGTTTGAGACGCGCGCGTAGTTGCTTATTATTAAAATAATTTCCAAGTTAAGCCATAATATACCGATACGTATAATCAGACATAATTAATTAATTTAGTTCGCTTATATTACTTTTAACTAGACAGCAAAGGTCTTATTTACTCATTTTAAGAAATCTTAACGGAGATTTTAATATTTTTCAAATTTGAACAAATTTATATAATCCACTGTAACTTTTATATTCAATTATTTTTGGTTTTTCCACATCAAATTCTATAAGATAGTTTTCTATACTTTATATTTTGTTATGCTTGGACAATAACTGCAAGAAATAATTAAAGATTAGAAATATTCTCATATATCGTGAATCTGATATAACTGTCATGAATTTATCTATGTCGTTATTTACTATTCTGTTTTACGCAAAACAAAATAAGATTTTACTGACCTGTATCCGTGCCTCCGTCAGGCCGATCTTCATAGCGAGCTCCTCCCTAAAAATAAAAAGGAAGGCAATCATTAACACAAGAAAAAGGTATCAAGGCTGCGCGTAGCCGCGGGCTTATTTGCGCGTGCGAGTTATTCGATTCTGCTATTGCGATAAACGCGAGTTAACAGTCGAGTTTTCATTCAACTCAAATATTCTTATTCAACATATCTGAATAATATAAAATTGCCATTTTTTATGATTTTTCTATAGTTGTTAAATAAATATATATTATATATTACTTATATTACATTTAAAGAGTTTTGATTATATTTTTTAAATTTTATTAGATGGATAAAAGCTTCGTTGCTAAGTTTTTTTCAGATAGTTTTTTATATATAAAATCATCTCTATAATCCTCAAAATTTTGTATGCAAGTTTACTGTGATTTTATGATATAATTCTTTTTTTTTATCTGGTTTACTTGTATGTAGTTTTATTATTATTTCAATTCGATACTATTTTATATATTTTCTGTGTTATTTATTTTGAATATTACAATGAAATGGGCACTTTTTTTTTTTAATCTTACATAATCAAATATATATCTAAATTTTTGGTCAAGAATAATTAAATAATTGTGTATAATTGCAACTACAATTATTGTCTTTTTTGAATGCACAATTTATTACTTAAGAACGCGATGTAATTCAGCAAGAAAAAAAATCATTTACTTGTCTTTTAATAACGTTGGGGAATAGCGGTTACCGTCTGACCTCGTATCATATCCGTGAGAAAATCGCAGAAACCGTTCTGCGAAATAGCTGGTGTGTCTGTCTCGTAAAAACGCGCGCGTTCATTACCTTAATTAGTTTTGCATCCGAAGACAGATTAACCGCATATAACGACGCACGATGGGGATTAATTGTATTATGGATCTCGCAACATAATGTGTGATTTTCCGTTCGATTGCTACCTGCACGAGCCATCGTGACGAGAGCTATTAATATCTATTACGAGACGATCAGAATCCGCGGTTACCGCGTCAGATAGAATTCTCGTTTTATGTAGGTGACTGTTGTCTCCCTCTCTCAAACAGACGGGTATTACGAATACGATTATTCGCGACTAATTGACCGGACTCGCGCAGCAGTAATGGCAAATAATTATTAGCTCGTGATATTTTACATAATGTTGATCTTGTCATACATGATATCAATCGTTTCCTTTCCACTCGATCGACTTTCGCATCCTTCGCTTGCGGGCGCACATTACACGATGTCTGCACGTACTACACGACACTTTTCTGCAAGCATATATGTTTTGCCTCATTTAAAATGCTCTCCTTATCGTCGTCCGCTTCAGAAATCTGAAGCATATACAGTTGTTGAATTAAGAAACTACTTATTAAGAAAGATATAGAATGGGTTTCCAAAGCGTCGAGAATTGAATTTATAAGCGCAAGCCTCTAATTTGAACCTACGATAATTCGAATTACTTATTGAATATACAGGGTGTCCCAAAGCACCCTTGACAACGCTCGTGAGCACGTAGAGCATAGTAAACTGAACAGAAAAGTCCTGTACCATTTTTTTCTATAACGCTTAATAAAGGAGTTATTATTGAGTAAAGTCTGGTCAATCAGCGCCGACTTTTAGCCGGACGCACGTCAGTGAGCCGCCCGTCTGTTAGTGTGTGTCGCCGTAGCGACGGAGCGCTCACGCACACTACCAGGCGCGCGGCTAAAGGTCGGCGCTGATTGGCCGGACTTTACTCAATAATAACTCCTTTATTAAGCGTTATAGAAAAAAATGGTACAGGACCTTTCTGTTCAGTTTGCTGTGCTCTACCTGCTTACAAGCGTTGTCAAGGGTGCTTTGGGACACCCTGTATATAGGTACGCATTAATAATTAAAAACTATCGCATTTTGTCACGTTACGTGCGCGAGTATATCAAAAGAAAGAGAGAGAAAAAGATTTTTTGCTTTGCTGTAAATGTATGTGCGTTAAGTATCACAATCATAATAAATTACATAAAGAGGGTAAGATTATAGAGATAGCATTACAACTAGATAATATTTTTAAGAAGAGAAAGAAAATTGATAGTCATCTACTTTAATATCATTAAATCTCTTTCAGTTGATTTATCGAGACTACCCAATTGCTCGCAGGATATTTCGAGTAAAAATAATAACCCGTTTAAGTTGTTATTCGCGCGATTTCACCGGAAATTGTGCGAACACATTTCCAATTTTTTTTCTCCAGAACAAGGTAAAACCGAAGCGCGAAGAAATCATTACAAGGCGAAATGCAGACGCGAATCATGACGGGTGTCGATTCATTCATTCCGGAAATATTCCAAGTTGTTGCGATAGAGGAATCGGACGCGGCGGTGATCATGTAATCGGCGAGTATATCCGGCGGCGGGTAGAGAAAGAAAGAGAAAAAAAGAAAGAAAGAGTGAATCGGGCAGTGAGACAGCCCGCCCGGGCGTCTCTCATATCGCAGGCAAATTGCCAGATGTTCCACGAAATCGCGAGGAAATCTCGGTGATTATACCGCGCACAGAAGCTCCCGCGTACGATCGCCCGAATCTCGTGTTTAGGTGCATTTCAGACGGTAGCTTCCGAAATTACAGGGATTTCGGCGTGAGTTCGCGGTCCCCGGATTCGGCCGGTTCATCTCCCGTCGATTTTATTATCGTTCGCTCACCTCATTTCGTTGCATCCCGTCTAACATATCGGTCCCTTAGACGAAGAACCCCTTTCAAATTTATTCTACATATATCGTTATATTTTAACTTTAATGCCGTCATTTTACAATTATTAATCACGAGAAAATATAATATATGTTTTGAATATTTTATCTTTATACTATATTATTGTTTTATAGTAATATATATATAATAATTTTATATATAAAATTGTCATTTGAGATTCAGCTCATCAAACTGAATTTATCGAAAGTTTAATCGATCGATGTTTAGCCATTGATTAATCGTCCAAAATGACTTTCATCGCGTATCGGCCGGTAATAGCAAAGCGTATTCACATCGTCAAATCATTTTGACGGCCCATACTCGGGCTTATTGGAGGAAACGTAACTAGAAGACGCGCGTTCGTATATAGCCATGGTACTCTCTGATTACCCGTTGTCGTGCGCTAATGACTACTCCGGCGAACATAGTTGCAGACGGTAATTCGTACCTGCTACCAGGCGGCTCGGCTTCGTTTTCAATGAAACGCCGAGTATGAAAGCGCACACCTATCAGCTTCTTCTCACGAAAAACAGGCTCGCGCGCCGCGTACGATAAAATTACGTACATGAGTCACAAATACGGAATAGATACCGTTTGACGAGACGGTAGTTACATACTTGTCGAAATAAATGTTCGAACGTTACACCAAACTCTTCCGTCTACGACTATTTTTAAGATAACATAAAATTTTATATCTTTTCCCCATAGAACCATAAAAAGCTACTACACAAAACAGTTGGAGATTTTATATTATAGAGGTGCTTTGACATTTCAAATTCTATTGTGTTTCCGAGGATGAGAAAAACGGCTTATATTACTATTCGAGCGATTCAAATATTTTATTTATCTCGTAATCTTTGCGTCACTTTTCTGATCACTCGAGCACGATATAATCTTTATTAGATATATGCATTATACGCATGGGTTGCGCAAACGCGAACGAAACGCACACCATCGAAGAGGCGGACGAGGCTCAGGCACCTTGGGGGCTTACAAGTAATAATAATTTAGCCTTTCCCTTTTTCTCTCTCCAGGCGCGTTCTCGCCGGCGTCCTTCTGGATTTAATAAGATCACGAAATTTCGCGGTTAGACGGACGTCCCTAATTACACCCGCCGTTCACCGAGAGTCTCGGTTACCCTCGATTCGCGTATCGTTATTATATGTCCCTCTCCTAACTCCCTCGTCCACAATGTGTCCTTGCCATGGAAAATATGTGGGCTTTGGAAAAATCATGAGTTGCTTCTGTATGCAAAGATTAGTTGTGTATTCACGACTTAATGGGAAATATAAAATGGTAATGATAACTTTGTAACAATTTCGCTTCAATTCGTTTGAAATCTCTATCGTACGTATATAGGTTGTTCTAGAATTCAATAAAAAATATCTTTGTTATTAATCTGTAAGTTTCATCGATTCAAATTTCACTTAAAATTGAGTGAAGTGTAAGAGAGATTTTATGTTATGTGTGTGTGTGTTTTAAATACTTAATTTATAAAAACTCAAAGTTATTAAAGTTTTGACATTTTTGATAAGGGGAAATTAACTTTTCGTATTTAAAAAATAAATATTTCATGTATTACAGTGCTAGTAATGCGAATATTTATATATATATATGAGTGTATATATCTTTGAATGTATAAAATATATGCATCTCATATTATGGAACACAACTGCGCTGCAATTAACACAGGTGCCACGTTCACACGCATTGCAAAATAAAACGTGACTAATTGCCGATTAATATCAACATGATAATTACAGCTCTCTTTAGAATCCGGTTCCGTGGTTCGTTATGCGAGTTTCTCGAATTTCACGCGAAGATGATAAGGGGAAATTAACTTTTCGTATTTAAAAAAGAAAATCTATTCTAAAACCGCACGCGTTTGAAAAAATAAAAAATTCATAATTTCAAAAATATAATTTACTATTTTATCAAAGGGAGAAAAAGAGAGAATTATTATTATCAATTGCTATTTACATGAATATAGATATATCTATATATAAAAAAAAAACATTTAATAATTCGTAATAAAAAATTATTCTTAGAATCTATTGCGACCGCTGAAAGGAAGTCCTTCCTGTTCTGTCCTATGCAACGTTGCAAAGTTATAGCAATCGGATTGCGAGGCGCGAATGGATTTGCCATTTCGCAACCGCATAGTAGTATAACGCGAAACCCACGGCCGGCATCAAAAGAGGCCGCTAAGTGGATTAAAGACGAGTTTCTTCGTCATCTTCTTCGTCTAGAGCTCTCCATCTCTCTCTCTCTCTCTTTCTGTCTACCTCCTCTTCCTTTGCTACTCCTGC